TACCGTCACCCACAATTAATTAGACTCCTCAGTCCTAAGAGTATGGAAATCTTTTAATACAATTATTGCTTATAATTTAATTAACAAAACCCTATGAATGGCTTTCATCTACTGAAACCTAAATTAAAGTTTAGTTTGTAAATGTGATTGACATTATAACTGTCACGTTGAATTCTTCCAATGATCATGACAAACATTATGCTTAACAGACTATAGCATAAACTATGGAAAGAAAATATCCCAAGTCATCTCATTTAACCCAATACAAAACAAGGTTGCTGGCTGCTTTTGTTCAAAATAAGCTATGGTAACCCCAGCAGATAAAGGAACCTGTACTGTGCTCACTGTATCCATCAAACGACCTCTAGTTAAAACACAGCTTTTGTTCTCAATCAGTATAACCTAAAGCACTGTGTATTTTGAAGACTTATTCTCTTTCTGTCAAAAAAATATAGCCATAGAGATGAATAAATACCACAATCTCGGAAGATATTTACTGCCATGATTCAAGATGAATCAGCCTGCAGCCTGGAGTTCATGTTCACTTGAATATTAACTGTGTCTTCAATTAATCAGCACTGAAATCAGCAGCACTGAAAACACTACATTCACCTTCAGAAAAGCTACCTGTAATAATTTACTAGCACATAACAAAATAAAAATAGTTCTCAGTATGGTAAAACTTTTCATTTAGTGGCTAACAGCAACCAGTTATTTATTACTCAATCAAGGCTGACTGGCAGGTACAATTTTCTCTTTGGATAACAGCATTAGAGTATAAAATGAACCACTCAGCAAATAATTCTGCTCAGTATGTGGAAATGCATAAACAACAGGATTGATTCACAAACTCAATGAAAATTTCCATTATTCAGAATTCTTTTGTTCTGCAGTCAAAGTGTGCCAAAAGAAGAGAAAAATAGACTATAAAATAAGGGTTGAAATAGGTCAAAACAAGACTACAGCAGTGACATGATACCCATTTTTAATTAGACTATTTAATGAGACATCAAACTGTTTTCCTTCTAGGAAAAAGCACTTCAGCAAGCCATGAAATCTTTGCAGTTTAGCAGACAACAAAGGGATTCCAATCTCTTACAAGGAAGTTTCAGCACATGAGCACAGCCAGTATGGTATAAAATTGTGTCATATGAATTTTAATATAACACAAATATTAAAGATTCACAAAGAACAAAAGCAGCATAGTCCTATTCCATACTACACAAGTGACCTATTATAATCCTAACAGCATACCACACTGCAATCAAATTTATTTCAACAAAGGGTCACCCAAGTCAAATGTAACAGCTGCAAAGATGAGATATTTCCTTTATGTAGTATTAGGGAAATACAAAATAGCAATCGGTGTGGTAATGTTAGCAAGTTGAAGAAACAGACATATTTAGGTCATTGGGAACCTTGTTTGTTTTTTTTAAAGATACTTTAATTACTAGTATTATCCTCACTAGTTACAGCTTCCAAGTTTTAAAGACCTCAGATGCTTGTGAATCTATGCATTCAAGACATTTTCCTACACAGATATTAATAACCATACTTCTCGAGGCTGCTGGGCATCCTGGAAATATTATACGCATGCTTTAAAAAAAGCATTTTTAGTCAACATAAAGAGATAGTCTGGGTGGTTAAACTAGTTAGGTGACTCTCTCCTATATCCCACTGCTTTTGCAGCAGCTGCAATTATTTTCCCAATGGTAGTGGTTGACAGATTTTGACAAAAAACAGAATTGCCAGTAAGGTTTCCCTCTGAGGTAGTATTGTTGTCTCTCATTCCAACTCAAAAGGAGCTACTTTTACCAGCAGCATAAAGAAACAGTATGTTCAATGGAGTCAATTTGAAAATTGTTTGATAGTAAGAAAGTACACAAAAGCCCATTTGAGACATAAGCTCACTTTACTACAGGGCTCAGTAGTTGTGAAGAAATAAGGCAAACTAAAAAGCTATGATGATCACTGTAATACATAGCTATATTTGTGAAACAAAATGTCACTATAAGTTCTGGTATTGGATGTGGTCATTTATTTTGATAACAATCTATGCCTTCTTTATGAACTCTTGTAATCATTTTATTATGAAATAGTTTACTGATGGCTAAAGAGCTCATGGTACTGACTGCCAAGGAATGATATGCCTCCTAATTCCTTGCACAAAGAGTTGAATTGCCTAGTGAAATTATCACATTTAAAAGGATGTTGGTATGAGAACATTAATAGGAGACAGCGAGCCTTCCTATATTAAAATATATTTCAAATGTAAGGATTAGCTTAATGGACTAATACAATAAAGGACATTAAATAATAAAGCAAAATATAACTTGAATAAAGTAATGACATGTTTTGTAACAAAGCACTCATCACGACAAACTTTTCTGTAGAGAAGTGTGCAATTAATGAGAAAGATAAGAGAAGGCTAGGGTTACTAGAGACTAAATACTCCACCAGAAAGTTTGCTCCTAACCTAAAGTTAAATAAATATCTCGCTTTTCAAATGAAAAGAGTGGCATTTCTCTTTTGCATTACCTTACTTCACCCAACTGAACATCTAACTGTCCCTCCATAAGTTGCATTATATTATAGTACCTTTAGTTTGATTCCCATCCATGCCTCACTCAGCCATAAAGCAAGACTAAATAGAGCAAAAGCACTGGTTGAATCTCTGTAATGGGTTGGCTACCCATCTAGAAGGTAGTGGGCTCTAAGCAGGTTTGGCATTAAAACTAGCATTAGTGACCTGGACTCTCCCAGATCTGAGTTACAGGAGACAATATTCTGTGGATATTTTTCTTTCTTATACAAAAGGTATGCATTTAAATTTGTAAGGGGAAGAAACTATTATAAGAAACATGGCATATAATATTATTTGCTTGATTTAGAAGCACCTGAGCAAGAGTTTCCAGCATCTAGCCGGTGGAATCAAGTTGTGGAACAGGTTTACAAATGGAGTTATTGAAACAAAAAGCCCTTTAAGATGAATCTAGATGTGTGTATGTAAGGGCTTACATGATGAGGTAACACCAATAGGAAGGATGTATCCCCTTACATTGTTTTTTGAGTGAGGAGAAAAATTGCATTAGCAAACATTTATTTCATCCTTTAAGACTGATTTACACCTTTACAAGAGGATAGAGCTCTTGTATTCCATAAAAAGTTTAAATACAAAATACGATAATCAGACTTCATCTTGTTAACTTGGAAATATACCATGTTTTCCCCACATGCAACATGCACTTTTTCCCCCAAAATTGGGGTGTTTGTATTAAACAGAGATGGTGATTTTCTGACTAGGACAGAAGCACCCTGCTTTGATTTCTGCTCCATAATGCAGCAAGTGTTGCATTACTATTCATGAAGCTAAGGGAAGCAATTGCCTCAATGGCTCATTGGTCTTCACTCTTGAGGTATTAATGAATGAGCTTGATGTTCCACTAATTAAGCTAACCTTTCTGAGGGCAATGTTGCTTCCTGTTAACTGCTCCTGGTCTCTCTCCTCCTATTTCACAACCTTGGAGACGCTTCTGTTATTTTTTCCCAAAGATCATAGACCCACCCATGGAAACCTTAGAATCAGAGAAAGTTAGGATTGGAGGGGACCTCACGGGGTCATTTAGCTTAACCCCCTGCTCAAAGCAGGACCATCCCCAACTATATCATCACAGCCAAGGCTTTGTCCAGCCAGGTCTTAAAAACCTCTAAAGATATAGATCCCACAACCCCTCTAGGTAACCTGTTCCAGTGCTTTACTACCCTCCCAGTGAAAAACAGCTTCAGCAGCAGCTAGAGTTTCAGCTTTAGTTAAACAGGAAAGAGAGGGTGAGGGGCAGCTGACAATTCAAAGATCTGTCCCTGCTCTATGTAGCCATAACTCGGGGGCGGAATGTTTTCTTCGCTCTGCCTTTTAAAAACAGAGCGTATTATAATCAGGGGCACATTACATCTAACAAGTTACGGCATTTATACCTAACAAAGAACAAACCCAGAAGGGTTCATGTTTCACTTCATCAAGAACAAAAACTCACAAACTAACAAAATAGGGTCCTCTACAAAATTAGGGCACTGCAAGACACCAATGCTCTCCGGACAAGCAGACGCACGCCCACACAGTACGAACTTTGCTGATGGATTTTTTTAAAATTTATTCATTTATTTATTTTTCCTAGAGGCTCTTTTTTTCCCCTCTGTATTTGGTGTTTGTTTCCTTGCAGCTGCTTCCCATAGCTAAGCCAATCCTACCACCTGCCTGAGGCTG